TGGCAGAAGTCAAAATAAAAATAGTCGATTTTTTTGACCCACCCTAATGTACATGGTGTCAAAGTTCGATTTTATTATATAATTACTTTGGAAAAAAACAAGCGTTTTTACACAACATAAAGTATTTGTACCTTTAAGGACAAACAATTTAAATTTCATAAAAAAAACTGATGTAGATTGGGCGCTGTCTGCGACACATTCCATAATAATATTATGTAAATGCTTTTTTGCGCCCTAATGTATTCACGTTTCGAATGAATGTCGTAAGTGTAATGTGTAAATGTCACTGCGAGTATTGCTTATTAATCGTAATTTGGAAATGTAACATTTTTTTAAAGTGGGTAACGATTTAAAAAAAATACAATAAGAGACGCTATAAATTTAGTTACTGTTGAACTTCGTGTAAGAAATAAAGTCTTTTTGGTTTAAAACAATTATATTAAAATAAAATAGTTCAACAATAACAACTTATGTCTTAATTTATCAAGTGCTTCTTAAAGAGTGCCGCTTATATTTTTAAGCAACTGTGTGCTCCTCTAAAATGCTGACGACCACCATAAAGCCTCCACGTGCCGACCTTGTGGTCCCTCGTCGCACACAAAGAATGTTTAGCCGCCAGAAAATGGGATATTATGTATATGATTGTTAATCATATAATAATCAATAAATCAGCTACGGAATATTTCTAACATTCGGCCATCCTTACTTGCGGGATGTCCCAGACCGCTTTTTAACTAGCTAAAACAAACATATAACCGATAACAATTAGACAGTGTCGGACTAAACAGTTATCTCAATTCCGAATAAGTAGGCAGTATCGGTCTAAATATTCTCCCGACGACAAATAAGCAGTATCGGCTTAAATTGTCATCTCAATTCCGAATAAGTAGGCAGTATCGGCCTAAATATTCTCCCGACGACAAATAAGCAGTATCGGCTTAAATTGTCATCTCAATTCCGAATAAGTAGGCAGTATCAGCCTAAATATTCTCCCGACGACAAATAAGCAGTCTCGGCCTAAATATTCTCCCGACGACAAATAAGCAGTCTCGGCTTAAATTGTCATCTCAATTCCGAATAAGTAGGCAGTCTCGGCCTAAATATTCTCCCGACAACAAATAAGCAGTATCGGCTTAAATTGTTATCTCAACCTAAAAATAAGTACATAGTATTTTAATCATCGTTAACCACTGTTTCATCTTATCAGTCGCTACTACCATACACAAGTTTTTGCCGTTAAAACTTTAATGGTCCTCTATATTTGTGGAACAACTTTTTGGTGGACCCGGTAGAAATTTCACTTATTAATACGCGTATAAATCACCCACATTCAAAACGTGATGATTCGCGTTGACACTTATCGTAACGTTCTTTCTGCTTGAGCTGGTCATGGTTAATGTGATGTTTACTTTATCTTAATTAAACGCAGCAATAAGAAAACTTTGTATTTCTTTTATAAATGGGTCGCATATGATTCACAATATTTTGTCCAAATGTCTTCAACGTAACGGCACTTGCACGATCGCTGATAATTCGCGGCAGTACACCGAATATACAGTGTATTCTATACAAATAATATCCTTTTTGATAGATTGTTGTTGACAGTTCCACAACACCTAAATAGTTTTTCACAAACTTGCAACAGTACCTTGCCAACTCGAAAACTTGCCTTACTTCTTTAACTGTCTTTGGTTTCGCTTAATCTCAACTAGTTAGGACATTCCTTTGCACGGTGAGGTCCTCTACACTTAACTTGTTTTTGCTGAGTTCCACTAGTAGTCGCTTTTTGTTCTTGAAATTCTTCTTCGACTCTAGATGCTTTACGACCCCCGTCACTCTTAAAACTTTTAACTTAAAACAATTCATTTGTATTATTAAAGCGCGAGGAACGAACGGATCTTGCGATGTTTTTGTCTGCTATACCTCTGATAACAGCATCTACTAAATAAACTTCAGGAATTTTAATTTTTAAAGCTCTTAGCTTGTCCAACTTGTTAAAACAATATTCGCTAAAATTTTGATTACTTTGCGTTTCGTATGTGGCAGCATCTCTTAGCAATTTGGAAAATGGTAAAGGTTTAGTAAATTGCTTTACCAACAACTTCTTCATTTTCTTCCACTTCACCGCTAACTGCTCCTGTGAATCGTACCATCTTTGAGCCATACCCACTAATCGATTTGTTACTAATCTAATTATTGTCAAATCATCCCATTTATAACTTAACGAGTTCATCAACACGGCGCACCCAAATTTTGATTGATTGGTCTGTCTTTTGCGGGTCAAACACAGGGATCATATTTTCTTCTCCGTAGTTACCCGTACCGTACATTACCCCTAATTGCCCGTCGCTTTTTCTGTCTCCTCGATGTCTCCTGCTCGTCTTCGCTAGAACTGCTCGATGTATTCGATAAGGGACTTCTCTTGCGTCGAGCCTTTGTTTTTACATTCTTCTGTTTCTTTTGTGGTGTAGATGGTCTAACATCGGAAGAATCGCTTCAAGATTTAGAGACAGGAACAGTCATGGATGGGGACACTGGCGGAGTGGTTCCGTCGGGTTTTGACATAATATTGCAATACTTCGCTATAAATTTAGTTACTGTTGAACTTCGTCATTGGATAGAGTAAAAATATTGGATTAAAAATAAGGAGACCTTACAACAAACAGTATCCTCTTTAATATGTTAAAAATGTTTCGAAAAAAGGGCACCCAACATTTTTTTACCTCTTGCCTGGAAATATCTCACAAGATTATAAAAATAAACTAAATGGAACATTTGATTAAAAAATTAATAAAACCTAACTGTTAAACAAATAATATTTTTATAGCATTATAATTATAATTGTTTAAATTAGTTGGAATGCATTTTGAAAGGCAATAAATAATAATTATTTATGTTTATTTTTTTTAAATTTATTTCTTTGATGTTTTTTGCCGCATGATGGATAAGTGGATAAGTACAGCGACCGTTCGATGGGAAAAATTAACTACACCGAAAATATAAACATCCTCAGAGCGTGGGCAACTATTTTTTACGTCATTTAAACCAGATTTATTATTAATAATTATTATTATTATGTACGAATGTAAATATGTGACGCGCTCTGAGGAAAGGGATCTAAGCTTCCAAAAATCGATCATATCGTTATAGATTAAATAAAGACTCCTGTTTAATTATCTGAAGTAAAAATAATTTTCCTTGAATGCTTTGCTATAACAACGCGTTAAACATTCCGTTTGTGCTGCCGCGGTATGCTGTCTACGCGCTCACCTCGTCTTTCCTTTCTCCTCTAAAATCATGATTTTGATCGTTACAGACTTTTTAATTAATTGCTTAGTCATAAATAATTTTTATTGAATATTTTGCATGTAAAAACGCGTGAAACATAATTATTATTAGAAACTGGAGAGGGAATGTAAATAAATTTGCAGAATTTAGTTAAAAAATCATTTATTCTTTAAATTAAATAATGTAGGTAAGCTTTGTTTTAAGTAAATTTGTACTCAATTTATAAATTTATACAGTAAAAACTAAAACTAACATTTTTAAATTAATGGATATTTGAAAAAATGTATAGATGTATAATGCTTCTATACATTTTTTCAATCATGTATGATAACCATTTAAAGTAAGTAATTACTGGAATCATATGAAGCTGGACTCCTGTGATGAAGGTCTATTAAATTTGCACAATAATTGTAGCACACACAATAAAAACTACTAAATTCTAGTTAATTTGGTGCAATTTTTTTCCCTAAAAATAAAATTTTTTGCGCTTAAAAAACTTCTAGCGACTCTGCCAGCTTAAGACTCTAGTAAAATAAAGAAATATCTTAACTAACCCTGTGTCAAACATTTAGTTCTAATTTATTATAGGCATTAAACAATTCAAAAAAAAAGTATCCATATATTCAAAAATTAGCATAAGTGGACGATGACCTAATACACATGTGTCGAATTGATCGCTGAAAAACGAAATTCGCACGTAAACGTTTAGTGCTAATTTATTACCACAAAAACATGCTTTGTAAAGGTTAGTTTTTTTAGTGCATGTGTGCTAGCTTAGTGTTTAAGTTAGCAAACATCATCGTTGAAAACCCAACCAAAATAGTGACACAAAATTATGACACATTTAGTGCTAATTTTGTACAAAGTCATTAAATTAATGACATATTTTTTTAATTAAGAGCAAGTGTATTAGCTTAATATTCTAGTCTCACATTAAAAGACCCAAATTTGTTTTAAAAACAATTTTATGTTAATGCAGTAATTTTTTTTCAATATTAACTTACGTGTGTGCTTTAAAACAAAATTCGAATTTACACATTTAGTGCTAATTTAGTACCACCCTCGTAAAGGTTAGTTGTTTTTAGCGCATGTGTGCTAGATTAGTGTTTAAGTTAGCACAATGATGATTGTTGAAAACGCAACCAAAGTAGTGTACTAAGTTAGCGCACATTTAGCGCTAATTTTGTACCAACTCAAGTGTGCCTGTAATAAATTGGCACTAAATGTTTGACTACAGACCAGGTCTGTGTGTTTGACACTGGATTCGTTAAGATTTTACTTTGGTCTGCTGGCTTAAATGTGGCAGACCCGCTCGGGATTAAAAAAGGCCAAAATCACACTGTGGCAAACATTTTTATTTTTGCGTACAAAATTTGCATTAAATAGGCTAAAATGTAGTACTTTATTTTTTGTGTGTGCTACAATTGTTGTGATAATATAATAGTCGTGAGTGGTAATTTTAAATATTCCTTAATTTATCAGGCGTGGTGTGCATTTTCCATTTTTTCCAATTACATCGCCTAAAATCTTTAAAACTAATTCGATCCATCCCATTATTATATACTCTGATATAGTTTATTAAAATGTTTGTGATTTTTATTTATCCAGAATGTTTTTTTGTCTCAAAGCATCTACTCTTTAAATGTACGCAAATGACAAAATGGTTTTTAAATATTTCTAATAATATTTCATATATTTTTTTATAATTTCAGGTTTTTTCGGTCGAGGTTCCTAGACCATTCCAGCTTCCAAGTATACCAGAAAATGTAAGCAGGCATTTTTTGTTTCCAAAATATTATTAAAATATTAACAAATTTTAAGCACGTTTCTTTTTTCAGAGAAACTTGACGGAATACTACAATGCAGTGGACATCAACAACATGATCGTGGTGTTCGCATCGATGCTGTTTGAACGGCGGATAGTGTTTACGTCGAAAAAACTGAAACGTTTAAGTGCGTGCGTGCAATCCGCGAACGATATCATCTATCCGATGAACTGGCAACACATCTTTATTCCGGTGTTGCCGATGACGCTGCAGGACTACCTTTTGGCCCCCATGCCATTTTTGATCGGCGTTCCTGAGGAAGTTTTTCATGTAAGAACAATCATTACTATTATTAGAGCGCCTATATAGTGTTGCCTGTATTGCCCAAATTTTATTATGAGTGGGTACCGATAATATTTAAAACTGAAAAGTGTAGTTGGCGTTCTTATGCAACTTTTTTTTCTTGGTAATAGTTTAAAGTTTTAAGAATGACTTCTTTTCTTCACATCTTTGCCACTAGTGGCAAAAAAATCAGCTGTACGCGAAAGTTAACTTCTTTAATTGTCTTTAGGTTATTAAATAATCCTATTCATTCAAAAGCACCTCCTTCTTATTCGACGCATTTCTCAAACTGCCGTCTAATGTGTCTTAACTCTTCAAGTAAAATCATTTAAACTGACTCTAAAATCTGTTGAAAGTACATCTAACTTGTTCGAAAGAAAAGTTTCCAACATGTACAAATTTCTATTGCATGTATCCAAAAATATATGGCATCATTATCCCGTAATATGTAGTTGATATTGTCGACGTGCAGGAATTCTAAATTCTGGATTTTCTGTGCTCCAGTATCGCACCTGTTGCGTACCGTACTATTTGTGGAAAAAGTGGATTCGTCGGAGAAAAGTTTTTGAAACTGATTATTATCATTTAAAATGTTGTCCCCTATCCACAAACAAAAATCCAATCGACAGAATAGGGTTTTCCACAACAGACTGCAAGACTACAACTGTAGCCGCATCATTGTCGTCAAAAAGCTTCTTCTTTTTTAAATTATCCACCGACACAGCTGTGTATACTAGTATTCTTAAATTTTTTTTACCAGTTGACGAATTCCATGTATTGAAACTGAAACCCATAGAAATTTTTCGACAAATCGTTCTTGTACATATCTGTCGCCAGTTCCATAACCTACAACAAAAATATTTTTTGTTCGATAGTAAGCATTTTGAAAATATTTTGTAAAACGAAATATCTAAGACTGTCACTGTGACATTTTTGTTATACATAGGTAGGGTTCCCAACTTCTGTCAAAAAAAATCCGGGACATTTAGTGTAAATTTACCTTTATTACAAAAATGACACAATCAACAATAATAAAGTAACGTCAAATTGACAATTTGCTTTGTATCATGGTTCATTTTTGTAATTAATATAAATTCACACAAAATGTCCTTTTTTTTTACAGAAGTTGGGAACCCTATACATAGGTAAAGAATACGTGAAATGAGGTACAAAAGTATGAATTAGAAATTAAATTTTAAAATACTGAGTTGAAATTTTACAAATAGTCTTTGGATAGGATTTGAAATCTTTTTTTTTTATTTCTCACTTTCCTCCAAAACGAAAAATATAGGTAGTTTACTCTTGATATTATTTCATGTTTTCTTGTTTTTGTATAAAGGTACGGATTCGTTGATGCGACTCGCGGCTTGCGGCTGCGATCGTAGCCGCTTCACTGCTTAGTACAATTTGTTTGTATATGTTTTGGTTGACGCGTTCAGTCGCAGACTGCGACTGAACGCGCCAACCAAAACCTATACCCACAAATTGTACTAAGCAGTGGCGCGGCTAAGGTCGCAGCCGCAAGTCGCAGCCGCGAGTCGCATCAACGAAACTGTACCTTAATACTTTCATAATTTAATTCCTTTATTAGACATTTCCTACCTGTACCATACCAGTATGATAAAAAAAATTTCATTACGATACAGATTTTTAACCAATAAAAATTCAATACACGACAAAATTATTTAATAGAAATGCGATAAACGGCAATATTCTGTCAATATCAACCAATGTCTTGGACATCTGATAGTTACTGTTGACAAGTTACTGTTTACATAGAAAATGTTTGGCTTTATTTTTTTTAAATTAGTGAACATGTTTGATAGTAAATGTAACAGACCGCAAGAGCTACAAACAACTTATTACCCGTAAAATCAGAAAAAAGGTACGGTACATTTTAGAATTAAAGTGTTAATTTTCTACTTTATTATAATATGTAGTCGAAAAAAATAGTGTATGCAACTTCCATTGAATGGCCTAATGATTTCTTTATACATTTTGCAGTATCAGCGACGATATTATATGTAATACTTTTAGATTGAAATTAATTAGAAAAATACATATTTTACCATAAAATATGCCAAAAAACTTTTAGTTGTAGAAGTGCAGAACCTGAAAGAATTTAAATTTCCCGTTCTGTATTTAAAAAACCCATTAATATTTTTCAAACACAAAAAATGTTGGTTTGTTTATAATAATTATTACGTTTTGTTACATAGAAAATTATATTAGTAAATACTACTTAATATTAAAAAAGTTAATTTTTTGTACAGCATTTTACTATATATTTTAATTAGTATATTTACATTGTTTAAAACCTAGTACATGTTATGTAAATTGTATTATACTACAAATTAGTTTGACTAGCCCTTTTACTTTTATTTTCAATTGCGTAAATGCATTCAATTTCAAAATTTTAAAGGGTCAATGACTGTGTTTATCCAGATGTATTCCTGCTTTAATAGATACCTACATCAAAACCATTTCAGTATCGTTAAGAAAATAAGTAAAAAAAAACAATATTTTAAATTTTTACCAAAGTAATCGACTGGGAAATATATTGACTTTTAACAAAAAACGTTGCGATAGTGAAACTTGTCTATTTTAATAGCAACCTGGGATCAATATGGACTATTCCAATATCCTGTAGTTTGGACCGGGCATAATTGCAATATAAGGAAAATCGTTTTGATTTGGAAATAGGAAAGATTTTATATGAAATTTTCGGCAACGTGTTCAAATTTAAAGGCGTACCTAACAATTCTAATGCGATAATTGAATATTAAATATTATTTAATAAACCAAACTAATTTGTATTGTTTCCCAAACTCAGATTACAAACTAATTTTCTATTGGTCCGGATCTGATAATCTAGACTGCGCTACATGTCATTATCATGGTTATTTATTTATTTATTATTTCTTTAGTGGTCGGGAAAAATTTCAAACTTTTCATTATATTTATCTGTCCCCTGCATGTTCGAACACACAAATGACGTGCTTTTATTGAACTAAATGTCTGTGAGTCTTTTGTAAAATAAAAGGTTTAATAACCTTTTTGAGCTATACATTGAAAATTGTTGTATATTAAATTATTTAAATGAATAAACAAAAATATTAAGATATGGAGATTTTTAAATAGCAATTGTTTACTTATTAAAGGGGCGTATTCTATTTACTATCAAAAATGCGAAAATAAGTTCCTATAAAGATATGTTTGTTTTTGCTTCGTTTTCGAGATATAAGTAGGTATACCTATATATCTATAGATATATATAGCTACATTTTTTATGAGTAGTTATAATGGTTATAATATTATTATTTATTATGTTTATTTTTTTAATTTTAATGTTTTAAGAATATTTTTTATTTTATTTATTTATATTTTGACATTTTCTTTAAAAAAATTATAAATTTACACAGAGCTGTGCAGCACTTAAATTTTATACATCTATGTACAAATTTCAAAATGTTTAAATTTTTCTTAAATATTAAAAAGAGGACACGATTACACACGTTTAGGGGACTGGGGGAAGGAGTCAAATCTTTGTGCTATAATAATGCTATTATGCGTGACACAGGGGGGGTTGAAATCCCTTGAAAAAGTTTGGCATACTTTATGAAGTACCTATATATATTTTGTATTTCACTATCTTTTTTAAAAAGATTGCTTTAGCGGTTTGCAAAATTCGAAATAATTACTTGAGACTCTCAAGTTGAGAGCATCCTAGGGATAGTAAAATCATCGTAGTTTCGCCATATCCAAGTAAATATAGCATTTTTATGGCTTATAAGGATAAATGATTATTTTAGAACACAAAATAAAATTTAAAGAACTATTTAGAGATGTTATTATTTATAGAATAATTTTATATTTTGTTGTTTTTTTTTACTTTGTTTAGGTACTCGAGTACATTTTTTTCAAAGAAATTGGTTGGTTTCTACATATACTGTCTGTCCACTCTAAGTTGGCGGAACTAAGGAATTTTGTAGTTTAGATATTAAAGAATTGTCGTACTGTGTGCTTTTAAAACAGATTTTATATTATAAATAATACTAGTACATATTATATACTAGTATTATTTATAATATAAAATCTGTTTTAAAAGCACACAGTACGACAATTCTTTAATATCTAAACAACAAAATTCCTTAGTTCCGCCAACTTAGAGTGGACAGACAGTACTTTTTCTTTGTATTGCTTACGATGTTTTATCAAAAATCTATTCGAGTGTTCTAAACTATTGTTGGTAAATACAGCCTGAAAATCCAGCAAATGTCAGGTGTGACACGTTTTATTTAAGAAAACAAATGAGATTAAATTGGTCACAGTTTTGCTTTGCGACAACAATGTTATTGTCTACGTACCGTCAGAAACTCGCTTAAATGTCACAACACTAAATATAGAACAGCATTAAAAATTTGTTGCCTACACATTGGTAATTTGCAAGTGTAGGACTACATTTTTTAAAATGCCATTATGAAAGTAAAAATTCCAAATTAATACATGCATTTTTGATACTTGCATCGGTGCATATAGCCTTGTCGAATTAGATTCCTGTTTTAAAAAATATAATATGCACTTTAGGTTAATAATTATTTATGTCATAAGGCTGAGAAGTGAGACTTTTTGAGCTGAGCTCAAATTTTGAATGCCGACGCGTAGCGGAGGCCTACAACTGAGCGAAGCATAAAAAGACACTTCTCAGCCGCATGGCATATAACTTTTATCTTCAAGGCATAATTTTATTTGTTAAATAATAAATAAAACAGATAATTACAATAATTAATAAAAGTAAAGTGATGTTAGATTACATCTGACAGTAGTCGAATTTTTTGATTGGTCCAAACAGGATTTTTAAAGGCTGGGACTCCTAGTCTGGGAGGTTTTTATCTTTATTGGTCTAAATTATTTTTATCTTTATTCGTCTAAATTATTTTTACAGCCTAGGAGGTTTTTTGATTAAAGATAATTATCTATTATAATAG